CCACCTGCCTCTGCCTCCCTAGTGCTGGGATTAAAGGCGGCTTGTTTTTTAAAAGAACTAGATAGATGCTTATAGAGGGAAAAATGTGATTATATAGCTTTTTTTGAGTATAGAAAAATAACAGTGTAGGGACTGGAGAGATGGCTTAGTGGTTAAAAGCAATTGCTGCTGTTGCAGAAAACGCAAGTTCAGTTCCCAACAAATAACATAGGGCATCTCACAAGCACCTGTAACTCCAGCCTCAGAAGAATCCAGCATCCTCTTGTGGCCTCTGTTTTCACTTGCACTCACATGTGCATGTACCCACACACAGACACACACACATACACTTTTTTTTTTTTTTGGTCTTTTTGTGACAGGGTCTCCCTGTAGCCACAGCTGTCCTGGAACTCACTATGTAGACCAGGCTGGCCTTGAACTCACAGAGATCCACCTGCCTCTGCCTTCCAAGTGCTGGAATTAAAGGTGTGCATGCTACCATGTCCAGCACATACACATAATTTAAATCTTTTTTTTTTTTTTTAAGTAACAGTATAGGTCTCTGATGTGTACCCCAGCCCTCTTATGTTCCTAAAGCTGAGACTATTGTAATTATTTGCATAGTCCTCTCTAGACCTTCTACATTACTATGGCCACTTTAGGCTTTTCAAACATGAGAAAGAAAAACAGAATTTTACTTCTTTAACTGCTGATGCTAGTGGTTGTCAGCATTAAGAAGAGAAAAGCAGCTTCCATGGCACTCAGGTGGATGTTGTGAACAGGCTTGGTCCCCATGTAGCTGTTCATTCGTGTTGGCATTCTTCCAGGTGTGGATGCCAGTGCTTAACCACAGGGCTAGTGCCCTGGTGCCTGTAGCTCTTCATGCTGGGAGCAAGAGCAGCTAGCTTGTACACTACTGAGACCGTAGGCTCATGGATAGACACTTTACACTTTGTGAGCACCTAGTGCCAAGGCCTCATTGGGTAGCCCTAGCTGGCCTTGAGCTTGCTGTGGTCCTTCTGCCTCTGTCCCCTGAGTGCTAGGATTATAGACAGGCACCAAGCTTGACATCCCTGGCATTTCTTATGCTTAGTCCGTCTTGTTTGTGTTTGTGGTTTGGTGTGTTTTTTTGTTTTTGTTTTTCTGGTCTTTTTGAGACAGGGTCTCCCTGTAGCCATAGCTGGCCTGGATTCAGTATGGAGACCAGGCTGGCCTTGAACTCACAGAGACCCGCTTGTCTCTGCCTCCCAAAGTACTGGGACTAAAGCCCTGTGCCACCATGTCAGGCTTTGCTTTTTTCTTTTTTTTAGACAGGGTCTCATCACGGACCTGAACTTGTTTGCTATGTAGACCAGGATGGTCTTAAATTCACAGAGTTCTGCCTCCTCAGCTTCTGAGTGCTGGGATTAAAGGCACGCCACCACACCTGGCTCTTATACCTGGTTTTAAGAGGTCTCCAATGCTCACCCCCCACCCCCACCCCCACCTTTCTGGGGTTGATTTACCACAGCGCTTCCTGTCTGCCTTTGTTGGTGTCCCATTATCATTCCCCTTGTAAGGAAACTATTATTTCTCTCGATAAGAAGAAAATGCAGAGCCAGGCATGTTGGTGCATGCTTTTTAGTTCCCGCATTTGGTAGGCAAAGACAGGCAGATCTCTTATGAGATTGAGGTCAGCTTGATCTACATAGTGAGTTCCAGGTCAGCTGGGTAGGGCTACAGAGGTCCTGTATCAATAAAATAAAATAATATAAGCAAAAAAGAAGAAAATGCAACTGCAGAGCAGCTTGGGGAGGCTGATTTGGACACTGTGGATGGCAGCATGGATGTTCAGAGTTCTCCCAGCCAGCCTGGTACACCATAGGCCAGGATGGGAAGCAGGAGGGCACTGGCAACCTTTGATCCTGCACCTATGGGCCAGACTCTCCCAGGGGACCTCCTTTCTCTGTCTCCCAGCACACACGTTCTGAGTTGAGTTTGGGGTGCCTCTGATGTAATGCTGTGGACTTTTTGAATTCTTTACATTCACATTCTGCCATTCTTTGAACTGGCCAAACTATGCTGCTTATGCCCACACTGGGTCAGCACCTTGCTAGGGTCCTTCTGCCATGAGGAGGGTGTATAGGCTGTGGCAGTGCTCTCTTTAGGATACTTGGTGACTGGAGCAGTGGAGCTCAAGCCCATCTGGGTTCAAACTTTTCTGTCAGCAGTGTTTAAAGGCGTTCTCCTCAGGCAGGTACAGGACCCTGTCCTTCACTACAGGCCCTGACTGCTGAGCTTCAGCATTTTGAGCAGGTGTGCTGGCATGTAACTGAGTGGCAGCAGCAGGGACAGAGCACCGCGTCTGTCTTGCTTGGATTCTGCCTGGAGGACTTGCAGTCTGTCTTCCCTGTCAATGCCAAACGTGAGCAATAACAGGCACAACTCGGCCTAGTTGCACAGGCTCAGCCCCTGGGAAGACCACCTCGCTGAAAAGGCCACCAACCTAGGTGCCTAGTTCAGGAGGGTCAGTGACTCCTCGGAAGGCAGGATTATTTGGGTGAGCACAGTCTGAGTCCCTCCTAACTAGGCAACTAGGCAACCTATTTGGAAATTCGACTATCATCTTCCAAATTTTCCACACTTAGGAGGGAGTTCCAACAGTTTGAATTTTGTGTTTTTTTGCCCGGTGCTTTCCCATTTTAAACTTAGGAGGATTCTGCCAGGGAAACCCTGGGAAAGGATATGCTTGCCCACTGCTGCTGCCCTGCTCACTTTTGCCACCCAACTCACGCATTTTCTCATGTCATCATTTCCTCTGCCAGCTTAGGATGAGCTTGCACCTGTAGTCCTCCTGGACCCCGGTGGCGTGAACCAGCTGACAGATGTGGTGCTCCAAGAAGGCAGCATTCTGAATACCTCAGCCTTGACAGGGGATCCTAGATACTACAGTGCTACACTGCTCGAACTGTCCCTGACCAATATCAGCAGTGCCTAGGAAATGCAAGTTTCCAGTCCTGCTCCAGAACACCAGAATCAGAAACTGGGGCAGGGCCCAGTAGCCTGTGTCCTAACAAACCTCCCAGGAGGGTTTGATAAGAAAACAACTTCACTGTGCTAGAACTGGTTTGGGTTTGGAGGAAGGGAGAAGTGTAGGGTCTTATGAAGCCCAGGCTGGTCTCAGACTTGGTATATAATCTTAAACTCATCTTCCTGCCTCTACCTCCCAAGTGCTGGGATTACAGGCCTATGCCCCTGTGCCCATTTCCAGAACTATGGTTATTTTGGTTTTGTTTTGTTTTAACATTTCTTTATTGGGGGAGGGGGAGGAACTCACCATAGCTCATGTATCGAGGTCCTGACAATTTGTGGGAGTCTGGGAATCTGCTCTCCTCTTCTGTCATGTGGATTCTGGGGCTCTAACTCAGGTCCTCAGGCTTGGCAAGTGCCTTTACCTGATGAGCTATCTTGCCTGACCCAGAACTGTTTTGTAAATGTGTATTCCTTTGGTGCTGCTGGGGAGTATCAAGCCCAGGCACTCACACATGCTGAGCAAGCACTTTACCACTGAGCCCTTAAAATTGTCTTTGAAACTATTTTATTCTAGTGTTCTTTTTTCTTTCCTTTCCTTTTGTTCCCCTCAGTGTATAGCCCAGGGTAGCCTTGAATTCATGATCCTCCTGCCACAGCCTCCTGAGTGTGGGGGTTATAGGTTTGCCCCACCATACCCAGCTTTCTAAACTATTTTAAAGTTATATGTCACATGACCCAGGCTTTACGCCTAGGTATTTAAACAAGAAAAAGGAAAACATCTCCACAAAGGTCTACCCTTGAGCATTTGTAGTGGGTGTACTTAAAATAGTCATAAACTATAAGTGGATAAATCATGTACATACACAGTGGAGTACTGGTCAGCAGTAAAAAGAAATGAGTTATTGTATACCCAGTATCATTGATGAACCTTAGACTGCTGAAAGAAGCCAGACCCCCATGAAAATTTAACATTTTAAAGCCAAGCATGGTAGCACATGCCTCTAATCCCAGCACTCAGGAGACTGTCAGGATTGAGAGTTTGAAGCCAGCCTGGGCTACATAGGCAGTTTTAGGCTAGCCAGCCAGGGCTACATAACAAGACTCTGTCTCAAAAACAAAAAGAACAACACAAGTAAAATGGGGGTAGAGGGCAAGGAGAAGTGGGTTATAAAGGAACATGAAATTTGAGGGGGTGTGGATGCCTATTATTTTGAGGTCATGTGTCTGTCAAAACTCATTAGGTGGAACACTCAGTCAGGTTATGTCAGTTTGCACATGGTCTGCACCTTAGCAAAGCTGTAACAGTGAAAATGTCAGTGTGATGCTTACCTGGGTAGGCCAGGGGATTCAGATGAGAGGAGAATGGGTCTGGGGATCTTCATGGGCGCTCGTCTTACACATAATGAACAAAATAAGAGGGCTAAGATGGAGAGGAGAGTGAAATCACATTGTTCTCCTGAGCAGCACAGTCTGCGGCCGGCATTGCAGTTCTGCTGTCTGTGAAGCTATCCTCGGTCCCATGTCTTAAGACGTCACTCCTAACCAACCACTTCGTACTCCTGTACCCACTACGTGTCAGTCACTGGTAGTGTCTTACCTTCCCTGTCTCTTGCTTGACTGCTCTTCCCACTCTTGGATCTGGCCCAGTTCCTCATGCTCCCAGGTTGGCAGAGAGTGCCGGGGAGGAGTGGTGGCTGAGCCTTGTATCCCTTACAGGCCCAGTGAGCATTCTGCAATGCCCTAAAAATTGTATTGACATGGTGTGGTCCCTGAATCACCTCTGGTAAAAGGTTTTGTCTTTTAAATATTTGACATATCATGGGTCTGTCATTAACAAATGGCTGAGCCTTGGGTTGATACTTCCTACAGTGCTTAAGAACACATCAGAAATGTTCCGCAGACTTCCTGCTTCCTAGATTCATTCCAAATTTGATTTAGCAGTAAAACCCAGGAGGAATTCCAATGGGCTTCCTGACCAGCCATGTCCTTGTCTCTTTGTCTTCCAGCAGATCTGATTTATCCACTGTAACCAGCATTGCCCACCTAAGACCTTCTGGATCCAGATCAAGGGTTCCTGTTCACTGGACTCCTTAGCACGTGAGTAGCTAAGGCTGTACTACCACCTCTTTATAAGCTGGGATATTCTCATCTGATAGAAAATGTCTAGGATAGCCGGTGTGGTGGCCTGGTCTACACTACATAGTGAGTTCCAGGTCACCTGGGGCTACAGGGAGACCCTGTCTCAAAAAAAGACCAAAAAAAAAAAAAAAAAGCCGGGCGTGGTGGCGCACGCCTTTAATCCCAGCACTTAGGAGGCAGAGACAGGCAGATCCTCTGAGTTGGAGGCCAGCCTGATCTACAGAGTTCGTTCCAGGCAGCTGGAGCTACAGGGAGACCCTGTCTCAAAAAGACCAAAAAAAAAAAAAAAGAAAAAAAGAAAACATCTAGGTTTCCTATGATACCAGGCAGGATTAGACATTCCTCAGTGTGCACAATTATTAAGCATTGTGATTTTTTTCTTTTTTTGGTCTTTTTGAGACACGATCTCCCTGTAGCCCCAGCTAGACTGGAACTCTCTATGTAGACCAGGCTGGCCCCAAACTCACAGAGATCCTCCTGCCTCTGCCTCCCAAGTGCTGGAATTAAGGTTTGTGCCACCATGCCTGGCTTAAGCATTGTGATTTTGCAGTGAGATAAAGTGGTATGTCTAAAATGATGGCTCAGTGGTTAAGAGAGCGTCTGCTCTTGCTGAGAACCCAGGGTTAGAGAGAACCCAGCACTCATATGATGGCTAACAACCATTTGTAACTCCAGTGCCAGGGGATCTGATGCCCTCTTCTATCCAGTGCCAGGGGATCTGATGCCCTCTTCTATCCAGTGCCAGGAGATCTGATGCCCTCTTCTGCCATCCACGGGAACTGCATACGTATGGTGTAGTTAATTTAACATGCAGGCAAAACACTCATACACATAAAAATAAAAAAATTAGATCTCAGGAAAACAATAAATTATCTTTTTCCCTTTTTTTGGTCTTTTTGAGACAGGGTCTTCCTGCAGCCCCAGGCTGGCCTCGATCTCATTGAGATCCACCTGCTTCTGCCTCCCGAATGCTGGGATTAAAGCCATCTTTTTCCTTTTGAGACAGTTTCTCATTGAGTAGCCAAGGCTGGCCTGGAACTCACTTCTTCTTGATGTAGGCTATCATTCCCAGCTTAATTTTATGACTACAAATATATACAGCTTATCCTATGACTACAAATATATGATTTGTATATATGATTGCATGATCATATATATTTAAATATGATTACAAATACATAGAGATTTTATAGTAGACATTCTACTAATGAGAGAACATAGACCTCAGATACTGAACTAAAGTAATTTTAATTCGACACATATCTGAATCCAGTAGAATTCGTTTGGGAGCTTAGAATTGTCAGAGGAGAGTAGAACTATCATTTAGCTCTACCATGTGTCAGGTCACATAAAAGTCCTATTTAACTGATTGATAGGGATAAACTTTTAAGATCATGGCCGTCAAAGCTAGGGTTTAGCTCAGTGATAGACTGTTCTAGATTCACTCTCCAGCACCCACAACTAAGACTTTCAAATTATCTGGGATTATTTATTTCCATGGAAAGACCACAGTACAGTCGCCAAATTTAATTTTACTTCCAGGGTGTTTGTTATAAAAATGATAAGGGGCTGGAGAGATGGCTCAGGGTTAAGAGCACTGGCTGCTCTTACAGAGGACCTGGGTTTGGTTCCTAGCACCCACATGGCAGCTAACAATTGCCCATAACTCCAGTTTCAGGGGGTCTGACACTCTCTTGACCTCTCTGGGCATTGCACAACATGGGTGCACTTACATACATGCAGGCAATACACTCATACACATAAATTAAAATGAAAATAATACAGATTTTTAAAAAATGGTAAGAAGTAGGTATTTTGGGGCTGGCAAGATCCACTAAGCCTGAAAACCTGAGTTCAGTCCCCAGAACTTACATGGTAGAAAGAGAACCAACGCCTGCAAGTTGTCCTCTAATCTCTACACACACACACACACACACACACCCCACTAAATAAATGTAAAAAATAATTTTGTTAAGTGAGTGCTTTTTCTTTTGAGGCGGGGTCTCCTTGTAGCTCCAGCTGGCCTGGAACCTATAGTCCAGGCTGGCCTCGATCTCACAGAGATCTGCCTGCCTCTGCCTCCCTAAGTACCTGGATTAAAGGTGTGCACCACCACGCCCTGCCAATGTGAGATAATCCTCATAACCTCCTTAAGTCTAGAATTAGGTTTAGGAAATGGTGGGAGTGAGCTGTGGGAGTGGGAAATATTTGAGGACATGGCTCTGTGGAGAGCACAATTTCTGATCACTGGTTAGGGTGCTCAGCAGTAGAGATTTGCCTAGCTAGCTGAAGGCTCTGGGTTTGAACCTCAGCACTAAAAAATCAGACTTCTTAATCATCAAGAACTGCCCCTCCCTTCAGTAAGAGCAGGACTCTGCCAGGTGGTTCCTAACTGCCAGGAACCAGTTAGACATGTTTTCTGTCTTTAGCTTTTCTAAAAATAGGTAACTATTTTCACTGAAGGTTTTTTTCTTGAAACAGCTTAGCTTCATATTGATTTTACATATTGGCATTGCAGGCTACTTCTGTTAATCAATAGAAAATGATGTGTCTACTTCTAATTCTTCCCCCTTTCTCTTCCCCTTCCCCAAGCTCTGTAGAAGGCTGTGATGAATCTGTAGCAAGTAAAGGACTGACAAATCCTGTGTCTTGCAGAAAGGAGACTACACTTTTGAGTTCACTGGTGGAAGACGCCCTGACTCTCTGGTTTTGCCCTCGATGATGCAAGTGTGACTGCTGGCATCTTCATGAGCTCCAGAGGTCACAGCACACTCCCACGGACTCTCATGGCTCCTCGGATGATTTCCGAGGGAGACATAGGAGGCATTGCTCAGATCACCTCCTCTCTCTTCTTGGGCAGAGGCAGTGTGGCCTCCAACCGGCACCTCCTCCAGGCCCGAGGCATCACCTGCATCGTTAATGCTACCATTGAGATCCCCAATTTCAACTGGCCCCAATTTGAATATGTTAAAGTGCCTCTGGCTGACATTCCTCATGCCCCCATCAGACTGTACTTTGACACAGTGGCTGACAAGATCCACAGTGTGAGCAGGAAGCATGGGGCTACCTTGGTGCACTGTGCTGCTGGGGTGAGTCGCTCGGCCACTCTCTGTATCGCATACCTGATGAAATACCACAATGTGTGCTTGCTGGAGGCGTACAACTGGGTGAAAGCCCGAAGGCCTGTCATCAGGCCCAACGTGGGCTTCTGGAGGCAGCTGATAGACTATGAGTGCCAGCTCTTTGGGAAGTCGACAGTTAAGATGGTACAGACACCTTATGGCGTCGTTCCAGATGTTTATGAGAAAGAGTCCCGACACCTGATGCCTTACTGGGGGATTTAATGCCAGCACAGCCTGTATCAGCAGCCCCCAAGCAGTACCAGCATCTGCTACACATGGTCTGCTTCCCTCTTCATCTTTTCAAATGGTTGACTTTTGGTTCTCCCTCAAGTGTTTTTACACTGGGTGTCTGAGTTTATTTTAAGAAACAGGGAGGGGAAATCCATACATTGCTAGTAACATTTTTAAAACTGGCATTTTGAAATAGTGATTATGAAAATCTTTAACTGGCCTTTAATCATTTTTAACAATTGGAACAATGTAGGAAACTGTTTCTCCTTTCTTCTGGCTCCTGTGCCTTTTGGCACCCTGGCAGGTGCAGGAGGAGCTCAGTGCAAAGATCACTCTGGGCCCTGATTAACCCTCTAGAGACCAGCTTTGCCCAAGGCTGCCAACCAGACAGCTGCTTAGGGAAAATCAAGACCAGCTTCAGTCTACTGGATTAGCCCAACTGTTTCTTTTCCTCTCTATTACTTAGTGACTCTATATAAGTTAAATTAACCTTTGTTAATTTAGTTGATAAGTAATTATAATGAAATCTGCTGCAAAAGCCCTCTTGAAATCAGCGTGCCCCAGGATTATATTAGCATTATTTTTAATAAATATATCTGCTTAACAAACCTTTTACTAATCATTTCAGGGTGTGTATGTGCATGTGTGTTGGGGAAAGAAAGATGCTCATCAATAACTGTTCAACTATGGCTCTTAGGACAGTTGTGGTCACCACTTAAAAATAGAAGCCCCAGCGGAATTATGTCAGCATTTCACATCCTTTTAGATGAGCAGAAATTAGTGTCATCCACATGCTGGAACAGTGGGGAGCAGTGTAGAGTAGGGTGCCAACCTGTGGCTTGCAGGTATCCCAGGAAAGCTGTGAGGCCCCACATGTTTGTAGGTGACAAAAGTGTCACAATGTCAAAAGGTTGAGTACCCCTGGTGTAGTGTGTACATTCTGATAAAAGGTACTGTTTTCAGTTTGCTCTTGGTAAATGAAGTATACCACAGTTATCAAGTCTACCATCAAGGAGATGTTTAGAAAAGAGATGGCTCTGCTCATCTAGTAACACAAAAACCCTCTACATCAGGCCTCAGCATTGGTGATAAGCAAATAGCAATGGCTTCCCTTAGCTAGGAAATGGCACCCAGTTCTTTGCTCCCAATAAGCCTGACAGCACAACCCATCAGGGATATGAGAGTCGTTTAATGAGCTCTTCCCTGTTCACTCTGAGTGACTTCTGGGAGGCTGGGTGGCCTTTGAGGGAGGAGAGCCAGTCACAGCGACGCCTCAGCTACTTTGCCAAGTAGCTGGTTACTTGTTTTTCCCTGGAAGAGTTTTCTAGGTTTTTTTGTTTGTTTTTTGGTCTTTTTGAGACAGGGTTTCCCTGTAGCCCCAGCTGGCCTGGATTTGCTATGGAGACCAAGGTGGCCTTGAACTCAGAGAGATCCACCTGCCTCTGCCTCCTGAGTGCTAGGATTAAAGGCATGAACCACCATGCCTGGCTAGTTTTTTTTTTTTTTTTTTTTTTAAAAAAAGAAACCATAAGTATGCCAATATGCCAGCTACATATTGAATATTGAAACTAATTCTATCTTCTAGGTTTCCATGGTCTGTGGCAATAGTTTTTCATCTGAATTCTAATTTTTCTTGTTTTATACCATTTACCTACTCTTGGAAGCATTCATTATTATCTAAATAGGAAAATTTAAGCCCGCTTTTATGGGAAATCAGAGGAGCACATAAATGAAGCCTTAGGACATGATCAAAAATACAATCTAGGGAGTCTGACTTTTTTAGTATGAAGCTAAGCTTTAGGTCAGACAGCCTAAATATGAGCCCCAGAGTAATCATTGTGCTAGAAGAAAACGCCTGTTGACATTCTTTGTAATTAAGGAAAATGTTCTGTAGAAATCCAGGCAAGGGCTGGGCAGATGGCTCAGTTGGTAAAGTGCTTGCCATGCGAGCTTGAGGACTGAATTCCACCCCTGGAATCCATGTAAAAAATGCCAGGTGAGGTGGTTCATACTCGTAATCAGAGAAGGCAGAGATGGTATCCCTGGTGCTTGCTGGCCAGCCAGCCTCCCTACTTGGTGAGTTCCAGGACGAGAAACCCTGTGTCAAAATAAAGGTGGATGATGCCTGAAGAATGAGGTTGTCTTTGACCTCTATTGTACACAAATACTGGCACACACGTGTACCTGTACACACACAGGAACCTGCCCCCGAAAAAAAATCTTGGTAAACACCACTAGTGAGATGTAACTAAAAGTGTCCTAAGCATGTGGGAAGCTTAACACTTCAAGTGCTTTGGCCCGTGTTCATTCTAATGACCTGTATCCGTGAAATCTTAACCTAGCAAAGACAAGATCCATGGTCTAGTGGTATGACTGCCTGCCCTCCTGCGCAAGTGTTTTTAGTTAGAGAGGTTTAAGAAGTGGTTGCTCTCAAACAAAGCCTGAAAACATTTTAAAGGTCAAGTTTTATAATGTGTAAATAATGCAATTAGAGCAATAGTCTATTAAAATGGAAATAAAGGAAAAAAATACCACCATCCTTCAAAATACAGGACCAAATCCCCCACCACACACAAGACAATGGTTTCACTGTGGAGCCACAGCATTCTGGTTAACAGCCACAGTCACAAAACAAGACACCACATGGAATGCTTTTTAAACCACTTTCACTAATTCACCATGAAGAATGGAATGAAGTAAAAGTTTGTTACAATGATACTTCGTTAGAAAAGTGTAAAATGGCATTTTTCAACCAACAACTTTCACATAAGCTTTATTTTCTTGATGGGATTTGGAAGGAGTGGGCTTTTCAATATTATTTGGTATACCTTTTCCCAAGGAAATACTACCCAATCTCAACATAAAACACAAGCTAAACACATCTTTACCTGCTTCTGACATTTGCTGAAATGTCTGCAGTTCTAATGACTGCTTCTGAATGGCAAATGTCTGAAAATGTCAGAGTTCATGCATTAGCTGTTCAAAAGAAAGGTGTTTGACCTACAGGTGTTACGGAGAATTCTCATAGTGGCCCCCAGTACAGAGCAAGCATTTCAAGTTTCTGTTTCCAAGAAATCTTTTTGATGATACGTAAATAGAAAAACAGGAGGTGTCTTTAAGCAAAGAAGACCAAAAATAACAAAATCCAAACACCCCAAAATTATATTTCAACACAAATTTTAAAATGTGCAACCCAGATGGAATGCTAAGTGGTAGACACAGGAAAAATAAAGTACAGATAATACCTTAGCACACCGTGTACCTCTTCTCTCTCAAGCATGTCCAGACACAAATTACACATCAACCCATAGAAATTTAACAGGCAAAGCACAATACCAAAAAAGAAAAGTGCTTATTAATCGCCATTCAAGCGGTGGGGTGAAGCTGCCTGACACAATACACAGCATGGAAATAAGTAACCTTGGTTACTGTTTCCAAGGACACTGGGCTCTTGGCTAACAAGAGCCGAGGTGAAGCTGAATGCGATGTTGAATCATTTTACTAAATGTGTGCAAAGAAAATCAGCCCAATGATACTCTACACTCCCCAAATACTTGGTGGTGGTATCCAACTAAACATTTCAAGTATTAAACAGATATCCAAAGTAGTGAATACTTTCCACTGTAAAGGCTTTTGTCAATGTCCACTGAATTTTCCTCTGGCACCTCTCAAGGAGCGACTAAACCTACTATGCTTCGTAAGGACAGCTGTAGTTACACTTGGGAATTTTATCAGAGGCATTCTAGAATGAATCTAGAAATGGAAACCAATTTAGTTAACATGCACTTTTTAAAATATCCTGGATATTGGCCATTAAGCAGAGTAATAGTTCACATAGCATTTTTCAAAAATGTGTAAGCAATAGAAATTCAGCTAAACTGGGAAACACTTCTTGCTGAAGTAAATAGCATTACTCGGTTCTATGGGGGAATAATTTAGAAGGCTGACTGGGAGCCTGCTTGGGACATGGTGGGACACAAGTGCAGGATAAAGTGGAGAACAACCCTCAGAGTTTGGTCACTTGCTGTTCGGGGTCTTCTGAAAGCTAGCCCACCTGTGCATGTGGCGCCTCATGCTCTACTAGCCCCAGGGAGGAAAAGGCCTTGTGGTCATTATGTAGACAGCTCTCTTGGTCATTAATAGCTGGAGATGTCATCATTTGGAACAGATGAGAAAACAGATGCAAGAAATCAGATGCAGCAATGCGTCTCTGCATTCTGGGCTATGGCTAGGTAAGGGAGAAGCAGCTGTGTAGGCAGTTAAGTGATTGGTGTCTTGGAAAGAATGCTTAAGGTATTAAGATGGAACAACACAGAATTCCTTCAGGTTTTGTCCTGAAAGGAGAAAATAATGAATTACGTAAAAGCAGCAGTTATACTGACAAAAGCAAACATTTTAAATGACCAAATAAAAACCAAGTCCAGGTCAGTGAAGCACATAGGATTCAAAATCTTTCATAAAGCACAAAACCAACAAGCCAAAGAAATAGGTATCCTAGACTGGTCTGCTTTTCCTGGGAATAACATCCTTAGCGACCAGGCTTTTGTTCCCTTGGTTTTATGTGTTCTGTTTAAATGGCAAATTCCTACGCCAGACAGCATATGCCTTTTCCTTCCAAAATTCAGTGCTACTGCTGAATAGTTTCCTGCACTGTGTCTATGGCATGTCTACCATAACACACATAATATCTTACTGTTCCACTCCCTAGGCTGAGAGGGCAGAGCTTTCTCAAGGTCTCAGGATTAACTCTCAGGTCTTTCTCCTGGTACTGCAAAGTCAGGCATTGCTGACCCCTAGTAGTCATCTTAGGAAATGTAGAGAGAGGTCACTACAGAGGAATTTCAATCCACTGCTGTGATAGATCGTGTCTGGAAAAAACACCATGCTTTGTGCTTGTCTTTGTATGAGGCAAAATGACAGATTTTTAACAAAGGCTTCACAGGAGAAGGACGTGCATTCCAGGACACAGGCTTTGGGCCTCTGTCAAAGCAGGTGTTCTCTACTGCGAAGGTCCTGGATCCAGCTTGGGAGAGCTTCCTTAAGAGTTGTTTCAGGCAGAAGAGGGTGGGCTGTGACAAGAAGTGTGTCTGTGCCCTTACTGCCTGCTTGCCACTGTGCAGTGAAGACAGGCACAGTATTTTCTCTATCATGACAGAGCAGCTTAATCACAAGTTCTTTTTATTCACTTCAGATGTTTACAAGCTAAGTGCAGAGAAATGCATTCTACTTCACAGGCCTGTAAGTGTTCTAGGTATAAACAAGCACAGGCTTGAAACAGTCTTGGTTGAGTCCAGCCCTGTGACAAGTATTTTTCTTCTAATGTTAATTCTTCACATTTTCAATACTGCAGCAGCAAATTATTACAGAAAACCGTGGTCCATGTTTTAAAACATCTTAAGAGAACAAAAGAAGTGAGGCAAGGTGGCACAAGCCTTTAATCCCAGCACTTCAGAGGAGAAACAGGAAGATCCCTGCAAGTTCAAAGTCAGCCAGGGCTACATATTACATATTGAGACTATCTCCAAAACAACAAAAACAAAAGCAAGAACAAAATGTAAGCAAGCCAAGTGTCCGGTGCCACATGCAGTTTTGGTCAAGCAGTTATACCTCAAGTCTCAACAAGAGGCAGTAGGAATTAGAGATCAAAAGCTGTCTGATCTGAACCTCCACTGTTTTCCCACCCTACTTCTTGGGGAATTCTTCAAATAGATTAATGAAAAGGAACTTTACAGTACTTGCATTCTGTTTATTGATGCCTGTCACCCCAAGGGATGTGACAGGAAAAAAACCAAAAAACTCAGGTGGAGCTTCACAGAGGAGCTTGTCAGAGCAGATCTGGCAGGATGAGGCCAGGAGGCTTGGGCTCAACACAGTTGATCCAGAAGTTGGCACAGCTGGCGTGATATTGGTGCCCTCCATAGGCCAGCTTGAAACTGTCTGTTTCTGCGTTGAATGCCTGCCAGAAATAGAAAGAGATACGGGGCAAGTAAAGCTTTTTCTACATCTAAGAGCTTGTCGGTAACCAACTCAGGCACTCTCCAGGTGTCACAGAGGCCGAGGCCTGAACAGCACACATATGCACACACACATACAAGCTGAGCAGGTGGCTATAGGAATTCAAGTGGGAAAGTTTTTTACACTAATTAAAGGTATAAAAGTCAGTACCATTTAACCTAATTTGAGCAAAGGGCCCTATCTTTCACAGAACAAGGTTACCAAGAGAAGAGGAGGGGTCAGGACATGGAGAACTAAAATAGCCAAGGGCTGCAGGTAACTGTTTCCCTCACTTTGCTGAAGGCTGTCCTCCCTGGAAGCTGCTGTGAGTTTAACATGTGGTTCCTTAAAGTTTTATAGCTGGTAACAGTCCTATCACGACAGAAGTATTTAAAAGAGCCAGAAAACAATTGATATTAATGAACTTGGGCTCTAATATTGGGAGCTGACAACTGAGTCCACATATAACACCTCCCCCTTTATCTGTAGATCCAGTTACCCCCAAGCAGGTACCATCCTGCAGTTCATTTTCTTAAGCACTATACATAAACATAATCTTCCAGAAAGTGCTGGATCTGTTACCCTGCTTGTGGCAGAGGAAAATAAGGAGCACACCAGAAGCTGATTACAATGCAAGCATGCAAACAAGACACAGATGAGTTAGTTGATTCGCTCAAACATGGGGACAAAAATGAGTCAGTAGAGTCACGACTGGCACAGTCCAGGACGACAACAGAATTATCTGTTTGCCTCCCACACGCAAAATTGAGATGGAGACGCTAAGATAACGTGTAACTCATACTTTTTTAGGATGTTCTTCTGTAGGCTTCTCTTCTTTCTGAAATGTTGAAACCATAAGGTCAAAAAAAAAAAAAAAAATCAAACCAGAACAGGGCCTCTTGCCTCCAAATAAACCCACAAGGGTTTAACCTTTTCTCTTCCACCCCCACACGTGGGGTGCCACGGGCACTACACAAGCGCAAACGCACCGAGAAGGGAAGGACTGAGTCCACTCCCTGGGCAGCTCCCCCACTGTCCTTTGGGAAGAACAGATCTGCTTCTCCGGTAGCCTTCCAGACTTCAAAATCCCCACCTCTGGCCACAGATCTTGTGGTAAAGTGGGCTGTATATATACAGCTGTCCCCAAGTTGTATTAGAGATGCACTATGCCATCTGCAAGGAAAGGCGGTAACTTACCCGGCTCCTAGAATCCACATTTAAGAGGCACACCCCGCAAGCCAGTTCCTGAGCGTTTTTAATCCCAGGCCGTAGCATACAGGAGGAAAAATCCAGTGAATTTTCATCTGGCTGAGGATGACAGGACAGATAGGTAAGGACCCAGCAGTTTCAAATACTGTTGCTTCACTTAGGTCAGGTAGCAAACTAAGTCAACTAATAACACCAATGCTTAATTTTCTAAAAATCTGCCAAGTACCTGCTATGTTCTAGGTGCTAGAGATGCCAGCGGGAGTGAAATCAGTGAAATTGTTCACTAGCCTTGGGGAACTCACAGTCTAGGGTGGGCCTGGGGGGTATTAAGCAATGCAGGGCCATGAGGGCCACAGCACTGACTTCAAAGTAAATACCGAGAACCCAGCACGCAGCAGGGGCGCTGAGGCCAAACTGAAGGCCAAGGAGCCTGAAGTCAGAAAATGCTTTCCAGAGCTCACAATCATCCTGCCCTGTCCTAATGAGACTATTCCAGCTGAAGGTGATGGGTCAAGAGCGATAGGAAAGGGAAGAATGTTTAACGTACAACAAGCAACACCAGCTGCTTAGGCAAACACCAGCTGCCCAGGTGTGGTGCTATATGCCTTTAATGCCAGCACTCAGGAGGCAGAGGCAGGTGGATTTCTGTGAGTTTGAGGCCAGCTTGGTCTGCTAGCGAGTTACCAGGACAGCCAGGGCTTCATAGTGAGACCCTGTCTAAAAAAGTTTACCTATGAGAATACAGAGGGTAGGAGCCAAGCCTATGATGGAGGAGATGAGGCCTGAACATCAAGGACCAAGAAAGGAAGGGAAGAAGGAAGGCAGGGCCAACTATGCATCACAGCTACAAACCTCTTTCTGCAACGAGGGCAAGAAACTTCAGGGGGAATTGCCAGGCACAGTGGCTCACACCTGTAGTCCCAGCACTTGGGAAGCTGAGGCTAAGAAGGATCACCATGAATTCAAGGCCAACCTGGGCTATGTAGTGAGTTCCAGTTCAGTCTGGGCTACAGAGTGAGACTGTCTCAAAAACAAACATTAAAGCCAGGCATCATGGTACATGCCTTTAATCCCAGTACTCAGGAAGCTGAGGGAGGCAGATCTCTGCAAATTCAAGGTCACCATGGTCTTCAAAGAAAGTTCCAGGCTAGCCAGGACTACATAGTAAGACTGTCTCAAAAGATTAAGAAAGAAAAGAAGAAAAGAAAAAAAAAGAAAGAAAGAAGAAAGAGAGAGGAAGAAAAGAAAGAAAAAGTAACTGGGAGGGGTGTGTGGTGATCCTCAAGGTGCCAAGGTACAGCTTCAGTTGGAAGACTGCTGCCAACTCTGAAGACTGTACCGAGGACAGAACTAAGATGGCAACAGAGGGAAAGGGAGGGAGGGGGACTCAGGCAAGGGCTATTATGGGGGTAGAATCAAAAGGCCTGGTGCATCTGTAGGATATAAAAGGAGGGAGGCTTAGGCAGCTCAAGAGAGGCTCAAGAGAGGTAGGTGGGCCAGGGGATGGAGGGTGAGGACAAGAGTGTAGTTTGGTACAGGCTGAGCTGAAGCTGCCATGGGACAGCTAAAATGAGATGCCCTGTGTGCAGGCGGTGGGGTGCATAGTTAGTGCAAAGAGGGTTCCAAAAGTCAGCAGCTGGAGGATAAATATAACAGCTGCAGTGCAGGCCTTACTTGTGCCAGCTGTGCTCAGTTCTTGATGGCATTGTCTAGTTTCTCACACACGCAAAAAGAACTATGAAATATGGAGAGTACAGTGCAGTGATTAAGGGTACATCTCAATTTTGGAAAGCTGTCCATTTAAAAAATATTTTCTTTATTATTCTTATTTCATGTGTATGAGTGTATTGCCTGAACACATGTGAGTGCACTTGTGTCTTGCAATTCCTGCAGAGGTCAGAAGAGGGTGTTGAATCCCCTAGAACTGGAGCTACAGACTTGGAGTTAGCTGCCAGCTAACTGGGTACTGGGATATGAACCTGGATCCTCTACAAGAACACCTAGTGCTCTTAACCACTGATCCATCACTCTGACCCAATTTCTTAAAGATTAAATACATATCTACTGTATGAGCTTGCAATTTCACTCCTAGATATTTATCCAAGAGAAGTAAAAATATGTCAACAAATTTTCTTCCAAAAAAGCATTCATAGCAACTGCATCTATATTAGCCAAAGCTGGCACTAACAAATGTCTGTTAATAAGAACGTGGATAAACAAATCATGGTGTGTTAATACAATAGACGAGTACTCAGCAACAAGGAGCAAGCTGATGCACACAACATGGATGCACTTTTAAAACATTATGCTAAGAAGCCAGACAAAAGAATGCAAATATCTGATATAATTTCATCTATATAAAGTATTAGAACAGGAGAATTTATGGTTATAGAAATCAGATAAGTGGCAGCTTTTGGAATCAGATCAAGGAGTTCACAAGGAAAGACTATAAGTGAACTTTAGGGAGGAACAAAAATATTCCATGTTTTGATGGAGTGTGGATTACCCCTAAGAGTGAACATTTCACCATGTAGATTGAAATCAGCCTAGACCAGGGGTCTACACTGCCAGTTCCAGGCCAGCTGGAGCTACAGGGAGACCATGTCTTAAAAAACAAAACAAAACAACAAACATGAATAACAATACCAAAACGAAAACGAACTCTTCCCATTCAAAAGAGTTGGCTTCTTGTGGCTGGGCAGAAGAACACTTGCCTAATGTGTAAGACCTTGTGTTTCAGTCCTAATAACTGTAAGATAAATTTTTAAAATTTCTAAAAATATTTTTTATTATTTTTATTTTATGTATATGAGTGTATGGAGTTACAGTGGTTAGCTGCCATGTGGGTGCTGGGAATCAAACCCAGGTCCACTAGAAGAACAGCAAGTGTTCTTAACTGCTGAGCCATCTCTATAGCCCCAAATTAAATTAAAAAAAATTATTTTTATTTTATGTGTATGCGTGTATTGCCTGCATGTAGATAAGTGCACCTGTGTCATGAAATGCCCGCAGAGGACAGAAGAGACTGGGGTCCCCTGGAACTGGAGTTACAGACAGTTGTTAGCTGCCATGTGGGTGCTGGGATTCGAACCTGGGTCTTCTGGAAGAACAGTCAGTGTTCTTAACCGCTGAGTCATCTCTCCAGCCCCAAATTAATTTTTTTTTTAAAACTTGAAATTAATGTAAAAAGTTTTAGAAATACGTAAAGCAATTAATTTTCTCAACACAGACATGTTGGTCTGGACAACTCCTTGCTGTAGGAACTGTGCTCAACACCTAGGCTGGGCTCTTGAGATAATCCCTTTCTTCCTGGGAAACAAAACTACCCTTCTCTACTGTTGAGAATGCTTACACAGAGTTTTGTCATTTATTATTATAAACCAACTGCCACAAAGGATGTATGCACACAACTTACAAATAAAATATATGCTTATCTTTATTGTAAATTCCATACTACCAACTGATTTTCACAGAATCTTTCCTTAATTTTTGCCCATCTTTTGGATTCATAGCTAACAGTTGGATATTTTCACAAAGTGTAGTACTGACATGAATGCTGGTTAAAATTTTTATGTTAGCCGGGTGTGGTGGCGCATGCCTTTAATCCCAGCACTTGGGAGGCAGAGGCAGGGGGATCTTTGTGAGTTCAAGGCCAGCCTGATCTACATAGTGAGTTCCAGGACAGCTAGGGCTACGAGGAGACCCTGTCTCAAAAAGACAAAAAAAATTTTTTTTAATGTTAAAGACTTAAGACTATGGTGCTGGAGAGATGGCTTAGTGGTTAAGAGCACTGGCTGCTCTTGAAGAGGACTCAGGTTTGGTTCTCAGCACCCACATGGCAGCTAACAACCATTCATAACTCCAGTTCCAGGGGATCTGATGACATCCTCTTCTGACCTCTGCAGGCATTGCATATACATGGTGCACTTATATACATGTAGGCAAAACACTCAAACACAGAAAATAAAAATAAATTTAAAAAAATAAAAAAGACTTAAGACTAAATTGAAGCTGGGCATGGTAGCACACATCTTTAATCCCAGCACTTGGGAAGCAGAGGCAGGCGACTCTCTGTGAGTTCAAGGCCAGCCTGATCTACATGAGTTTCAGGCCAGCTGGGACTGCAGGGTGACCCTGTCTCAAAACAAACAAACAAACAAACAAACAAAACTAAACTGAAGTAACAGTTTGAAAACCACTGGGCAAAGACTTGAGTGACAGGAATATTTCCTCAGCTTTGGTGTTAGTCACAGGTAATAGCTTTAGACAAAGGGCACATTTGGGGCGGGGGCGTCTTTTTGAGACAGAGTCTCCCTGTAATCCCAGCTGCCCTGGCCAACACAGGACACTTTTAAGGTTAATCTGGATTACTAACCATTTCTCAGGCTGGAGAGATGGCTCGGTGGTTTGGTTCCCAGCACCCAAATGGCAGCTAACAACTGTCTATAACTCCAGTTCCAGGGGATCTGATACTCTCTTCAGACTTCCATGGGCATTGCACAACATTTGTGCACTTACATGCAGGTAATATACTCATACACATAAAAATATAATACTAAAAAACTCAATTTCTCAGTCACTTTCTCAGACAATCAGCAAAACAATACATCAAGCTCTGATTTGAAGTATTTGCTGGTTTGCACATTATAAATACTCCTATCATGGCTGACCACAAGCTTCTAGCAGGATGCACTGAACACAGAGCTGTGAAGAGCTGTGTAGCAGCAGCACTGCTGAGGGCCCATAGGGATACTCTCCCCTAGGCTGATCAACTGCTCTGTTTTGTCCAAGACTGTTCTGGTTTTGACATTGAAGAAACCCTCAGTCCTGAGCATCAAGAGCAGTCAGACAGAAAGATAGAAAAATCCTCCAAAAGTAGGTAACAGTAAAATATGACAAAGAACTTACATGGCCTCAGTGGCATAGCCACATCAAAAGACAGCTATTTTTCCTCTTTCTTTTTTACTGTAATTATGGCCACTTTGGTTAAATACAGACATGGCTGGCAACATCACTTTAAAAAAATAATATGTTAAAAATATTTTATTTATTATTTTTATTTTATGTGTATGAATGTATTGCCTGCACATACGTAAGTG